GACTGGCTCAAACGGTTGTTTCTTTCTGCTGCACGAGACCTGCAGAAACTGTACAGAAGTAGCCATGGACGTGCGCCTCGTCCCAGACGTGGATGGGTGGAGCGTGCTCAGCTGCAAGACTCTGCTTTGCGTGTTACTGGATGTTTTCATTGTGCGACGTGCCCGGGACAAGCTTGACGGCATAGACATCAACAAGACCAAGCCCTTCGTTCAGGAGCTAGCCCAGAAACCCTTTGACATCAGCTTTGGGGTAGGTGACGAGGCAGGGCTAGGCCGAGCCAGAGCCCGCCCGGTCATGACTGTGGGGGAGCTCGTCGACTCAGCCTTCATCGGCTACGAGCTCACCGACGAGACTTCGCGACTTCATCAAGAGATCATGGCGCAGGCGCCAAAGGCTGGCAGGGCATACTTCTTGTCCAGATGCTCAGGGAAAGCGTTGGCCCGTGCCGTTGTCGCACAAGGCGGCCGACTGCATTGCGCCCCAGTGTGAGAAATCATTTGAGTGCTCAGTTGTCCGGTGGTTCAATTGCGCGGTAGCGTGGACAGTTTGCCATCAGCATTTCGTCATGCACTCGAGTTGTGAAGCGGAACTGCTTTCTGAAACTACAGGTGCATGTTACGGGGAGGCCTGTTGGTACCTCGCGAAAGGGCTCCCGTATCTGCAGCTGCTCAACGACAATCGATTTGCAGTGTTTTGTGATCAGGGTGGATCATGGCGGACTCGGGCCGTGAAGATTCGTGCTAACTATCTGAAAAACCGTTTGAGCCTCAAGCTGTATCAGTTGAGCCACGTAGCAGGAAGTGAAAACTGCGCGGACATTCTCGGTGGACAGCGACTTATAAATTTAAAGGAACTGGGGAGGTTGTCGGGTTTGTGGGTCTCAGATGATCGAAGTGCTGTTACTCAGAGCACCCCGGCTCCGGCCGGCGCCGATGCTGCAACAGTCCTTCGTGCTTTAGTTATGTCCTGTAGTTGTTTGTGCGCTACGACGACTGCACAACCTTGCGCATCCGCAAGACCCCGGAACTCAGAAGATCTTCGCGCATTCACTGTAACAGTTGCTATCAGTTTCGTCGCGGTCGTATGCTTGCTTGTGTCGTCGTTTCTGTATGCGCCGAGTGAGAGAGGAATCTGTTGAAGATCCAGGGGTTTCTGATCCCGAACCCGAGCTTATGGATCCTGACGAGTCTCATCCAACGGGGTTGCGCAGACGCCATGTGGGTCCGTCTGAAGAATCACAGGCACGACCACATTTGCCAGTGTATGCTACGGAGCCAGATCTCGAACCAACGGCGGATGAGGACCACTTAACACGTGATGATGACGATAATCGTGCTGTTGACGGTGATGCTCTTCCCGGTGAGGTGGTGTTCAGGTACGCTGATGACGCCGTGTACTTCGGCCCTCCAGGTTCTACGAGTCGTGTTGTCACTGTCTGTGATTACGAGGACTTGGTCCAGACCATTCGTAGGAATAACCCACACATGTACTCAGCGCACGCGACGCCGCCTGCCAGTAACTTCTCGCGTGATGCTCGTGATGCGCGTTGGGTTGGTGCTTCCCCTCCTGCCTAGTACACTGTGGCCTTGCCTCTTGAGTAAGGCGGTGAGATCCGTGAAAGGGTTTGGGCAAAGAGCTTGTCTGCAGGTACCTTGGCTTCGATGGTCCGGACTTGCTTGCATGTAGTTCGCATACCCGCCTTCTTTTAACTCCATATGCTCATGATGCCACTGGCCCAAGAGGCTAAGGCAGGAGCTGAACAAATCAATGCACAGTAGTTACCGGGACAAAGAATCGACAGAAGACACAGCGCGTATTGTTTGTTCTCCTGCTGTGCCTGTTCAAAAGATTGACTCTTGCAACTCGCTTCCGCGAAGGTTCCGGGTTTAGGGTCTAGGGACCATGCCCAGCCAATGACCTCTGTGCCGTCAGGCAGTAAAGATGGACCCCCAACTCCCAACCCACGACCATTTCAGTATCACTGCCCTTTTTTGGTCCGGTCTGTGCAGGGGTGTGGGGGG